GGCTTGACCCCCGGACCCTGGAATTATGACCTGAGCTGAAGGCAGGTGCTTCACCAGTGAGTCATTTTTTTTCAGAAGACTTTTTTTCCCCAAAACTGATCAGTCCCAATCAAAATTTAAGAAGGCGGGATCCCTGGGTGGCGCAGCGGTTTAGCGCCTGCCTTTGGCCCAGGGCGCGATCCTGGAGACCCGGGATCGAATCCCACGTCAGGCTCCCGGTGCATGGAGCCTGCTTCTCCCTCTGCCTATGTCTCTGCCTCTCTCTCTCTCTGTGACTATCATAAATAAATTTTAAAAAATTTTTTTAAAAAATCTTAAAATATGTCAAAAAAAAAAAACAAAATTTAAGAAGGCTTGTCTGGAAGAAATTGACAAAACGCTTCTAGAGTTGTTAGGGAATTGCAGAAAAGAATAACCGGTCTTGAAAGAGAAGGGTGTCGGAGGACCTAGCTCCCTGATGCTGAAACTGCCTGTGAAGCTGTGCTAGTCAAGACGATGTGTACCGGGCAGCCCGGGGTCTGATCCTGCAGTCCTGGGATCGAGTCCCGCATCAGGCTCCCTGCAGGGGGCCTGCTTCTCCCTCTGCCTGTGTCTCTGCCTCTCTCTCTGTGTGTGTCTCTCATGAATAAATAAAATCTTAAAAAAAAAAAAACCTACAGAAAATGCCATTTAAAAAAAAAAAAAAAAAGACGTGTACTGGCATCCAGAGAGACCACCAGAGAGAAGCAAAACAACAAAAACAACAAAACTGGGGAAAAAAAAAAAAAGAAATAGATCCATGTCACCAAGTCCACTGAATAGAGAAAGAAACCATGTTTTTGACACATGTTTTGGAACAACTGAGGATTTGGATGAGTGTAAGTGAGCCCGAACCCTTCCTCGTAGAATACAGAAAAGTCGGTTCTGGGTGGATCACAGGCCTGAGTGAGGAAACCGTTAGGGTGTGGCTTCCGGGAGATGCTACGAAGGCCGTCGTCCTGCCCCGGGGTGAGCACGGCCCTTCTCAGACAAGAGGCTCCCTTGTCTTCCTAGTTGGGCCACAAGTGAGGGGTTTCTTGCCACTGATCCGTCATACGATCGTGTTTTTCTCCTTTGTTCTGTTGTAATACTGTAAATTGGACTGATTGTTTTTAAATGATGAAGCAACCGCATTCCCGAGCTAAAACACGCGTGGTTACGACATCCTCTTTTTATGTGTTGCTGCTTGAATACGCGCTGTGTCGTCTGCTCCTTACCCCACTGAGGGTGGTGAGACGGGCGTGGTAGCAGCTCCGCCACGAGGCTGGCCTGCTCCGGGTCAGCTGCCAGCGCAGCCACGAGGCTCACAAGGCCCAGGGCGTGCAGCGTGCCCCCCGGGCGCCGCCTCCCACAACCCCCACTCGGGGGTAACGTCCCTGGTCCCTGCCGCAGCCAGCACGTGGAGAGGCCCACGTCGGTACGCTGGAAACGTGGCTTTGCGCCCCTCGTGCCACTCCGGGATTGAAGTGCTGGCTCCAGCCGCTGCCGGTGCTCCAGGGATCGCAGTGAGCGCTGCTCCTGGCCGTGACGCGTTCCGAGCACTGGGCGGGTTTTCCCTGCTGTGTCGGGTATGGGAGTCTGGACACCTGTGGCTGAGATGGAGATATCACACGCTTGTTCTGGAAGTATCTGATGCCTGACTGACGTGATACTTTTATACCAATAGAAAATGATTTTTAGAATGAATATGTGCATACACAGCATATTTACAGCTAAATTTTAGAGGGAATCTTCTTTTTTTCTGATTAACATAACTTGAAATTTCAAACATGCTCTGTCTTCATGTCTGAATAAGCTCCAGTTGGAATGAGTGAATATTCTCTTTCCTGATGATCCTTTTTGCAAATCTCTGATGATCTTTGACTACTTGGGGCTCCTTTATGCATTGAGGAATCTCCACATTGAAACTCCAGCTTACATTCTTTGGCAAAGTGAAGTTAATTTTGCGCAAGTGAGGAAATTTTATGTTAAATACACACTCCCTCCTATCTATGCTGAAATCTCAGTATTTTGTACCTTAGGGTTTTTCAAGTTTGGAAACACCTGTTTATTAACTCTCAGCCGCGTTCTTTTTTTTTTTTTTTTTTTTTTAATTCATATGAGAGAGAGAGACAGGCAGACGGAGAAGCAGGCTCCCTGTGGGGAGCCCGATGCAGGACTCAATCCCGGGCCTCCGGGACCAGGCCCCGGGCTGAAGGCAGCTGAACCGCTGGGCCCCCCAGGCTGCCCGCTCGGCCGCGTTCTTGGTGTACCGCTTCCAGCTGCAGCAGCCCGGCTCCGCTGCAGGGGCTGACATGTCTCCTCGGCGCCCCCGCGGGTGGGAGGCTGATCCTAGTCATCCCTACTGTTCTCTAGGATACAGCACCTGGAGTTACATTAACTTAGAAAAAACGCAGGCGTATTTTGTCCCAGGTAGCATTTGGGATCCAAGGAGTCATTCAGTCTGGGCAGGTGCAGTGGAGGTCCTGAGCCTGTCCCTCCCGCAGTCTGGCTTCTGTGTGTCCCCAAGCCAGGAGGGCCCGTTGGAGGCCGCTGGATCTTGTTGCGGTCATCTCTGCGGGGTGCCTGGGATGAGCACAGGGTGGGGGGCGTGCGCCCCAGGGACCCTCCGACTGCAGTGCGCCTGGACAGCTTCCTGTGTGTCTGCGCTTCCGGGGAATAGACCCTGCACTCACCTAGGGGGACACGTGGCCTCACGAGACTGACGCCCGGTGCTTCCTGACGTTTCTGCCACGTAGGAAATTTAGAAGGGGTGGACCTGGCACCCAGACCATGGAGGATGACAGCACATTGGAAAGAAGCGTCCCTGTGGGGCTGATGCAGGGCAGGTCCTCGGGGGAACATCCCTGCAGGTGTGGGGGGTGACATGGGGCAGGTGCCTGGGAGGGTGGGGAACATCCCTGCAAGTGCGTGGGGTGACGCAGGGCAGGTGCTCAGGGGGAGAAGGGACATCCCTCTTCAGAGAGCTGACCGTGACCATGTGCAAGCTCAGTGCTTGATTCCCTGGAGCTTGGAACGTCCTTGGGCCCCTTGTCCTGTCCATTCCCTCGAGGAGCAGAGGTGGACGCTGTGGCTCAGGTGCGGGGCATGCAAGCTCACCCAGGGTTGTCACACAGACATCCAATGACCGTCGACCGTGAGCAGTGAAAACCCACGGAGAACAACCTCGGACTGCCCGGAATCCCTACCCAGAGCCGCCGTCCAGCAGAGGCCTTCGTGTGACGTGGCCAGTCACACTGTGTGGGGTGGGGTGCGTATCCTCTGTGCCCTGTCCCGAAGTGAGCTGGAGAAGGAACCGCAGCACTGAGAATGAGAGGGAGGAGAAAGTCCTGCTTTGTCAGAGCAGTCCACGTGGACGCCGTGCCGTCTGACGCACTTGCGTTGCCGTGGGGAGCAGTCTGCGATTGGGCACGAGTCACCCTCCCACCTCCCTCACAAAGGAAAGGATCTGAACGTGTGGCCACTAAACGTCTGCTCCTGCCACCGTCCTGTGTGTGGGGAGGTTTCCCGAGGCCACAGGTCCATGGTCACCCATCGGCACACTCGCCCCTGGGCCGTGGTGTCAACATCCAGGATTTGTTTGGTTTTTTTAGCCTCTAATGGTAGAGCGACTGCGGTGATTTCCACGTGTGACTTTGTCCTTGATCCTTCTTTGTTCTGCCTCTCGCCTTGTCTCCCTCCCCCGTCTCTCCTCCTCCCGTGGTGATTGGGTCCCTGCAGGTCCGTGCAGCTGGCTGCCCTAGGCGCTCAGGCTCCAGGAGCAGGTAGAGAGGTCCCTGTGTCCTGCCCCACGGCGGCCCGCGGCCCGGAGCTGGTGCGGAGCTGGGCAGCTGCTGGGGCCGCGCTGCAGGCCTGGCACCCGCGTGCGACAGCTGTGTCGGTGGTGCCTGGCAGGTCGGCGTTTCTCTGCCACCTTGGGGCCTGGTCTGTGTGACTTCACTTCCCATGTTAGGTGGTGTGTTTTCGGACTTTTCCATCGGCCTCCTGCAGCCCTGCGTTTGCGTTGCCTAGGACGCCGGCCCTCGGCCCCCCAGCGCCCATCTGAAGGCTGCTGCGCTGAGCAGCGAGGCTGGGAGGTGGTTCTTGGGGTCCCATGGGGCATCCGCTCCGCATGGGGGCTGACGGGGGTGCTGGTGTGTCCCCGAGGGGAGAGCCCGGCAGCGGCAGTGTTGGGGGCAGACGCTGTGGCGAGGCATCTTCATCTCACTCTTCGGAGGTGCAGGGTGAATGCTGTCTCCTAGAGAATCTCCGCGTATTCTCCGAATTTTCCGTGAGGGGCTCTATTTTTGGAGTTTCACTTGGGCGCCGTGTTTTTCTGCCCATGGCTTCACACGGCCTTCCCGAGACGCAGAGATAGACGTTTGGTGTGGAACGTAACTTCTATCGCGTAGCTCCCACGGGGTCAGAAGTCACCCCAGCATGTTCTGAGGGGATCTTTGGCGCCAGGACCAGCACGTGGACCCCGTGTGACACAGCTCGGCCACGCGTGCCCCTGGCTGTGTACTGTTGATAAACTGTGTCACAGGCAAAATCTACCTCCCTCGGCTGGAGGGAAGCCAAGGCGCAAGCGGAGCTAGAAGCGTCTCTGAAAACTGGCCTCCTGGGACGCCCGTGGTGGGACCCTCTCGGCCAGCCGTGCCTCCATCCTCCTCAGCCTGCCCGCGGGCACCTGGGCATGGCGTGTGGCACGCCTCTTCTCTCTCACTTGTGTAAACGGGATTGGCGGTCGAGCCCCGTGAAAGCCCAGCATGCTCCCAGTAGATGCTCCTTTCAGAACCAAGGTTTCCTTTTTTTTTTTTTAGAACCGAGGTTTCCAAACTGGACACGAACACGTTTCTTGGAGACAGATGTGGGTTTAGTGCTTTTTAGTTCTGTTCAGTTTGAGATTTTTGCCAAAGAAATCCTCCCTAATGAGTAGGAAGCACAGAGCCAGGTGCCTCCCGCACAAACTTGAGTTAACCGCGCTGTGTCCTTGCTTGCAGGGGACCTCGGGACCTGACCCAACCACCGTCTATGTTGATATGAGAGCTCTGAGACATGACAGGTATGATGCACTTGTGGGTTGGTTGGTTGGTTGCCCAGCGTGCTGGGGCCGCCTCGCGAGGGACGGAGCAGGGCATCCGGGCTTCGGTGGGTGCCGCCTGCCGGCAAGGTGGAGAGCAACACCAGTTGGCTTGAACCGTGACATGTCTGCACCTGTGTTTGGTTCCCAGTGGGGCGGTTCACTCTGCGCTTTGACGCCGACTGGCTGGGGTGGCCGGAGTCTCTCCTCTACCGGTTGGGCCGGAAGCCGGCGGTTCTTTCCCTGCCACTGTAGCTGGCACCGTGCCGCACCTTATAAAGCAACTGGCACGCCACCCACATTCCTTTACGTGAATTGAAATGTTGTGTAAAGGTGTTCCCGTGAAAAATTAAAACACGAGTGAAGTTACCTTCTGTTGCAGCTTCCCAAGCAGCCTTGAGCAAGAACGAAAGGTGAGCATTTGTAAGTTTTCTCAAGTGGGGGAAGGAGGTGGAGACGGAAGCAAGATGAGAACCTGTCAAGGACTGTCTGCCCCGTCCAGGAGGACCTGCCAAAAGCCCCGAGGTTCCCTGCTGAGTAGATGTTACTGTCTGGGAACGACAGGGGTGCCCATGCCTTGGTTATGTGACGGGGCAGGTGGGGGCCACCTGTGCCGGTGTCTCCCAAACGTTACTAGCAGGTGCCCCGCGGACGCACTGCGATGGCCGCACACTGTGTCTCCTCCTTTGCTCGCCTACTGACGACAAAGGGAAGAAAGGAGCTCGTGGTCATAGCCGGTGGACGGGGAACTCGCCCGGCTGAGTGGGTTGCCTGAGCGGGTCCCTAGATGACAATCCTGCACGTGAGCTGGGGCGGGGAGGCCGAGGAGGGCGCCGGCGGGCTGTGCACGCGCCAGCACCCGTTCCCAGCAGGGCTCTCGGGCCCCGTGGACATCGGGCCACCTCTGATTTGCACGATTCAGGGAGTAGTAGTATGGCTGATGTCCCAGGGATGGAGGCCAGGGGTGCAGCTGAAAATGCCCTCTGGCACATGGGACAGCCCCACACCAACGATCCAAGAGCCAGTGTGCCGAGCCCCAGGGGTGTGTGCCGCGTTCGCCCAACCCTGTCCCATTGGAGCCTGCCTGGCCTCTGTGGCCCTTGTTCTAGACCCTACTGGTCCAGGAGGCCAAGGGCACAGCCTAGCATGCACCCACCACACCGTGCCCGCTCCCCTGCCACAAAGTCCAGCAGGATCGTATCCACGATTTGGAAACTTGCTTTGAAGAGTCACAGTAACTTGACCAGGAGCACAGACCTTTCTAAATGTAACTTTTAGGGTTTAGAATGAAGCCACTTTACTCTCTACAAGTTATTAGAAATAACATTATACATTTTAAAACTTTGGAAGGTGAGCAGTAGCGCCCCCAAGAATCCGTTTGAGTAACATTCACACAATTGTGTGTGGCCTGGCCCCAAAACACGCAGGGGGCAACCCTGGGACCAGTCGTGTAGAGATGCGACCCTCTGGCAGAGGACGGACAGCTTACTGCACGAGTGGCCGTCAGAGAACAGTTAGTCTCACTCTGTATCACAAGTGCCCCAGAGTCTCGATGGTGTCTGGCTTAGGGGACCAAGGGTTTTCACTCCTGGAGCAGAACAGAAATCGCAGGCACAACTTCGTAAAATTTCTTTGACCAGCGCTTCTGAGGTCTTCAGCAGCAGAGCCTCCTGAGGTCGGGGGCCCGTGTGGCTGGGAGCTGAGGGAGGCCTGAGACCCCGCAAGTTTGTGCTGGGCTTGCCTCCTTGGCCCCTCGTAGTGTGGTCTGTTCCCAGAGCCGCAGCTGCCGGGAGCCTGACCCCCCATCCCCATCCCCAGAGCCTGACCCCCCATGTTTCTGGAGCCCCCATCCCCAGAGCCCGACCCCCCACATCCCTGGAGCCCCCATCCCCAGAGCCCGACCTCTGTGTCCCCAGAGCCCGACCCCCCCATGCCCAGAGTCCGACCCCCCGCATCCCCGGAGCCTGACCCCCATACCCTTGGCGGCTCCTGCACCACCAGCTCTCCAGCACCTGCAGCTGAGCTCCGGGCCGGCCAGGCTGTGCCGCTGGCTGAGAGGCTGCTCACCCCTTTCATGGAGCAGAAGCCTCCCTGGTACCGCCACTCTCCCCCGTTAGGCGCCCGCGTCCCAAGGCTGCAGCTCCTGCCAGGAGTCACACTCCGGGGCCTGTCCGGCATCCACGGCATCCCAGTCTGTGGCTCCTCGTGCTTTCAAGCCCAGGGCAGTTCAGCACCGTCCTGGCGTGTTCCCCAGAGCGAACCTCATCCAGCTGGAACTCTCCAGCCTCCCCTCGGCCCTTTACCACCACGGAGCCAGAAGCATGTTCGCTGCGTCTCACGCGACGGACGGGCTGTGGGACGCGGCTGATCAGAGTTCAGGTCTGGGTGGGCTCTGTGGCCCCGGTGTCCCTGTGCTCAGAATGGGCTTGGTGACGCTGCCCTCGGCCGGTGAGGGCGGGAGTATGGAGGCTGTCCATCCTGCGCTGGCTGCCGGGGTGACCCGGGGGCAGGGGCTGGCCTGGTGCTCGGTCCCGCGAGGATGCAGCTGCAACAGGAGAGCTGTAGGTGTTGGCTGTCTCTCCATTTCTCACCATTCGTGTAAAATAAAGACAGGGCTATGGTCCTGACTTGAGACGCACTGAGACTCAGGCACGTTGGTCACTCTCAGGTTCGTGTAGCCTGTCCACCAGGAGCCCCGGGACACCTTGGCCAGGACCTAATTGACCCGGAGAGGGTTGACGGCCTGAAAGTGACCGTTAGTTTTTAAAATCCTCTTTCTGATATGTCCACGTAGGGTGAATTCACGGTCTCTCAGCCACTTCCAGTTGGGTCTTTCCTTAAGCACTTGGTTTTTGCAGACTTAAGGTAGGAAAGAAAGAACGTTTTCAGCGTTAAAAGAGGAGTTGAATTGTACAGACAAACGCTAGCATAAAGCTTCCCGTACTCCTCACCTGAGGCCCCAAGTCTCGGGAAAACACGGGGAGTCCGTCAGTTCCTGGTCCGTGGTGCCCAGACCCCGAGGGACGGGCGGACATGCGTGCGTAGGCCTGTGATCTCGTCCACGGCAGGAGGGGCCTGGGGGCAGGCCGACCAGGGGAAGGGGACCCAGCTCGTGGTCGGCGCCTGGCGTGAGCGTGAGCAGTTCCTGATGTCGGACGCGGTGTGGGACCCGCCCCTCCTGGGCTCGGTCCCGTGAGCCGAGCGATGACCGTGTAGGTCAGTGCACATAAACAATGTGTCACTCCTCTAGACACGTGCATTCTGTCGGCAGTTAGGGACTCGCTTGCCCGCCTCAGTGTTTGCTGCCCCCTACATCTGCTGCTGGCTGTCCTCAGACGCGCCCACCGTCTTCTAACACACCGTCTTCTAACACACCGTCTGGCCGACGTGGTCGTGGCTCTGCACTCCGGGTTGAGATCAGGGCCGCAGGGGCAGGTCCTGAGGAGGGTCCTGAAAACCCGACTTCACCGACAGAGAAAACTGAGCAAGAGGGAAGAGTTGACATTTGTGAAGTGTCTCTCGTGGTAATGGGTGAGTTCCCGCCTTGTCTTCCCTGCGAGCCAGACTCTTCCCCGCAGCTGGCGGCTTCCATGAAGACACGGTTGGTTCCCTTCTCTGTGGTTCTTGTCTTCAGCACCCAGCCCAGCGTAACGTGGCCATGGGCACCCCGAGCTGGTCTGGGCGGGCAGCCCCCTAGCTGCGGCCAAGGTGGCCCTGGGCAGGTGGGGGCAGCGCGGGGCCCAGCCCTGCGGCCAGGACCTCGGGACGGGCGAGCGCCTCCCCCCACGTCTCTGAGCGTTCTCCCGGCCGGCATCCCTTAGAGAGCCCGCTGCTAGCTCGGATCTCCGCACCTCGTTCTGACACCTGCCGTCCTGTCGGGAGAGCCACGTGCGGGTGCCCATCCAGGCGGTGCCACCTCACACCTCGCCCTCGCCCCCCGCCCACCCCCACCTGGTTCTGAACCATTCGGTGATGTTTCTGAATCCATTCCACAGTTCCAGAGTTGGTTGAGTTTTGACGAAATGTTCCTTCTTTTTCTACAACATCTTAGGTTCCTCTGAGAAATTGTTCTGTGGTCTTTTTTCAGTAAAGATCAAATTTAAATAATTAAAACATAACGTATTGACTTGGATAGTTTTTGTGCCACTGGCTTGTTCACTAAATCTTACCCCAAAGCCCTTTACCAAATCCTCTAAATTGGAGCGGCAGGTAAACGATAGGAAACCCAGTTACGCTTGAATTTCAGATCCAGGAGGAATCCTCTTTCTAGAACAAGTATGTTCCAAATATGCATGGGGAGGCATACGCTTCAAAAGTGCTGTTGATCTGAAAATCATATTTAACCAAGCGTCCTGGATTGCTCTTTGCTCGTCCCGGCCCCCCAACCCTAGACCCAGACGTCCGTTGTGTCCTCACAGCCACCACGTCAGAAGTGCTGGGTTTTCTTGGACGTACCAGGACTGGCTTCCCATCCCCCTGGTCTCCTGGGGGCGCCTCGCCCTGCAAGTTGCCGCCTCATACGGTCGGTCCTTCAGGAGCCATGAGCCCTCCCGGGGCGGCTGTGAGGGCCCCTGTCGTGTGGCGGCGGGCCTCAGGCCTCCGAAGGAGCAGGGGTCCGGCGGGCCCCCCACCCCGGCCGGAGCGCCCGTCCCTCCTGCACCTGCTCCGTGACACCAGCCGCGCAGAGAAAGGCCACTCGGCCCCTCAGCAGGGCACGCGCTCCGTCATCACCTGGGCTCTGGTCCCTCCTCGGTCTGTGGTTTCACACAGGCACACTGCGAATCTTAATTGAGTGGCCAGGATTGTGGGTAGGCAGTAAGAGGAGGACCTCCGTGTCCTGGTGCGTGAACAAAGTCTCCCCCGCACCGGGAATGCCTTTTGCTTCTAGGATATTAGTGTGTCTCCCCCACGAGACCGAGGGCAGCCAGCTCAGTGTTTCCCGTGGGGCCCTGTGCAGGCCCATCTGTCATCAGGAAGTGAAA